ATACTGATAAAGAAAAAGTAGAAAAGAATAGAATGTCTTCTGTTTGGATATAAATATGGCATGTCACATAATGCATTGTACTTGGATGTATCCCTCAAAATATAGAAATACAAAGAAATATATAATAAACTACATGTGTTTGTATTTTGTTGGATGTTCTGCGTTCTGATCGGTTGCATGCTATTTACTGCCTGTATTTTGACAGCATGTATGTTTGTGTGTGTTTATGACAGGTGCTTGTCCAGAGTGGCCATATCCCCATGGTGTCCCTGGAGTGTGTGTCCTGTAAGGTCCAGTCCATCTACGAGGTCAGCCAGAACTCGTACGTCTACCTCAGAGGAACCTGCACCAACTGCCAGGGCGTTTACCATGGGGTAAACACACACACACACACACACACACACACACACACACACACACACACACACACACACACACACACACACACACACACACACACACACACAGACACACACACAGACAGGAAGACAGACAGACAGACAGACAGACAGACAGACAGACAGACAGACAGACAGACAGACAGACAGACAGACAGACAGACAGACTCACACTCTCACCCATGGGCACATACACACTCCAAATCCATATCTATATGTTGTCACACTGCAGAAACGACCTCAAAATCCTCATCCATCATCATTTCTCGTCCTTGGTCTCCACCTCTTTCCTTTATTCAGACTTTATTCTCTGGAAATATGTTATGCAGGCAGTTGTGTGGATGTGAGAATTAAGTAATTGTATATACAACTTGAGCCAGGGCCAATATGTTTGGTCCTTGCTAACACAGGGGAACATTTTGAAAGACAAAATACTTGAGTCCCTGAGCCTCAACCTGCACATAGCAGATGACTCAGCTCTAAACTAGGTTCATTCCTAGAATTGAACTTTACTCCTGTTTTCACACTGCACAGGGGTCATTTTTAAGTTTGGTACTCTGTATATATCATGTATCTATCTTCATGTAGTTCTCACATACATATTTCTCCTTGAAGTAAACATGAATATACATTTTTTACCTGTCAAATTAGAGTTTTTAAGTAACTTATACAGATTCCAAAGTAAAACAATGTTCTAACCTGAGCCATAAACACAGAACATATAACAGTTTAGAACTGATTATAGAAAGTAGATGATCAGAATGGATTTGTCTTGTACATCAAAATAATTAAGTGATGTTTAGAGCCTCAACCAAATTACTCCTTAAAAACATACTAAAAGCATTAATCTAATTATTGGCTCAGCCTTGTGATGAACGCATCAAGGCAAACCTCAAAACAAAAATCATGTGTCCCTTCCTTTATTTGAAAGCTTTTAGGATGGATTATCCTTGCTCAATTAATGTATGAATGCCTATATTTCTCTCTCTCTGCCTTTCAGCGCTGGAGTGCCATGACGCTGCAGAATGAGACTTTTGTCCTGGACTCCTCCTCCACCACCACAGGAGGTGACGGCATGAATCTTGTGCTGCGGCAGGGCATCCTGCAACCTTGCTCCTACAACTTCACCCTGCATGTGACCGACGACAGTTTAGATGGAGAGGGCGCCGCGTCCATAACTCTGCACCACAACACGCCCCCAGATGGCGGGAAGTGTCGCCTGAGCAGGGAAGGGGAGGATGGAGTGGCGTACGTGGACAGAGACAGCGCAGACTGGACGATACACACGCTGTTGGACCGAGTTCACTTCAGCTGCTCAGGTAGGAGGACGTGGCCTCACACACCTGAATCCCAAACGTGTTACTTTACTTTCCCTTTGTCATCACTAATTGATTTTTGTTAAATCTGTCCTGTCTGATCATCAGATTTCTCCCTTTTAACCTCGTCCAAATTCACCACAATATATCTGTTCTTTCTAAAACACATGAACCTTTTACTATTTTAGATGGGATAAATACACTACAACAATTGAAAAATACAGATGAATATATAAAGAAAAAGTAAACAAGTATTTAAAAGTGAATGTCTTTTCTTGCCTCCAGGTTACAGTGACCTCGGGGTCTCGGAGACTCCTTTGCTCTACAGTTTACTGGTGACGCGCTGCAGAGAAGACTACTGCGAGGACTTCTGTGTGTACAAAGGCAGCAGCCCCGAGCACTCGGCCTTCCTGCCCCCAGGCTTCGGCTCAGCCCACCACTATGTGAATGTATCCATCACAGTGGAGGACCACCAGGGAGCTTACATCATTGCACTCAACAAGTAACTACATCTTTCTGAGCGGCAGTGAGACCAATTAAACAAGACCCAGTCCTTCAGCTTCAATTCCATAGCTCGCTTAGCCCGTGTATGACAGAAGGGTTTCTTAGAGGTAGAATAACCTCTTCTATCTCCAAGGATTTCTGTTATCTTGTTGACTTCTGACTTTCCTTTTCTTTTTCACCACAAAGCTTATTAAAGTTTAGATCTGTGCTGTCTTGCAGTTAGGGGCTTTCTGTTAAAGTATGTTGAACAATAAATTAACCCCCTCTTAGACTTGCTTAGTTATTATGGGCATAAGCTCCTGCAAAAGATTGTTTGCTCGCAGCCCTAGAAAAACATTTACATATTGTTTTTATGCAGTGGGATTACAAGACATCCCACATGTACTTCAAGAGGCATGTGGAAAACAAAAAAAGGAAAGAAGCGCCTAAAGCAGGGGCCACCAACCTTTTTTAGGGTGAGGGCTACTTTAAAAAAATAAAACAAGTCGGGGGCTACTTTTACTCCTCTTTTTTTGTTTTTTGCAGTGTATATATTTAGCACATTTTAACATTAATATGCTTACCTTTAACCTTTGTGTGCTGTTTGGGTCTGTGGGACCCGTTTTCAGTGTTTACTAAAAGAACATGTTTGCAATCTAATTATTTTAACCTGCTTTATTTGGGGGTGGACGGGCCTCAGCTCCTCTAGGGGGGTCCGGGGGCGTGCTCCCCCGGGAAGATGTTTTTTAAAATGTTGAAGTGAAATGCTGGTGCACTCTGGTGTATCCATAAATTCTGGTGAATTTGTGGATACAGCTTTCAACACTCATATGAAAGGGAGCTGTATACTTTTCAATAATCCAATCATCTTTAGAATATGATCACAACCAATAACAAATCATTTAAACTGGTTTATTCTTATCTTATGTTACCTAGTTAGCATTCTTTCTTTCTATTTATGCATATTTTACTAATCACTCCCTTTTTAAACTGTTTTTTGTTTTTTTTACTGTCCTATAGTACACATTGGAATGATTTCTTAATTTATCTATATTAAATAGATAAAGGTGTGCTCTCCCAGCTCTCTCGCTCGCTCTCCCTCCCTCCCTAGCTCGCTCTCTCTCTCCCTCTGTCTCGCTCGCTCACAGAGGCTGTGTGCTCCTCCGTGGCGATGACGGCTTGCGTTAAAAAATAATAATACACATATTTGTAAAGTGGGGGGACACAAACGGGATTTCGAAAAGAGCGGGGGACATGTCCCCCCTGTACCCAGTGGAAATTACGCCATGCGTGTGTGTGCTTCAAGTGCAATAAATAAATATGCAAGTTGCAACACACAGAGTACATCTCTGCCCCTCATGTGCTGTGTAGGCTGGCACGACTAGGCTGTTCAATGGGGCTGATGTGTTATGTAGATTCTGCTGAAAATCAGCAGGGAGGTGCCACATTGCTTTTCTTCCCGACTGCAACTCTGGACCCGCAAATCAAGCAAGAACGTGATTGGTCGATATTCATTGTGGGGGTGGCGGGAGGAGGGGTGTTAGATAGATATAGAGTTATATTAAGTAGATAGAGTTCGCTTATGATTTAGGTTTCGTTTATGCATAGGGTAGATTCTTTTAATTACATTTCCTATTTTGTTTTGTGTATTTTACACATGGACTTGCTTGGCGAGCTATTTTTAGAACATGCCCCACGGGCGACTCACGTTGCCCCTGCGGGCGACTAAGTACCCGCGGGCACCGCGTTGGCTACCCCTGATCTAGATGAATGCGACGAAGCAATTCATGCCGTTTTATTGTTTTTAACGTTGAAATGACAAGTGCAACAGGTGAAGATGAAGTTGTTGCGGAATTGTTGTGAGTACCCTTTTCAAGACGACAATTCAGTGAAAAGACGGACATTATAATGCCGTGGAGGGGGGCGGCGGCGGGGGGTGTGTGTGTCTACAAAGGTCCAGTTGTGCTGGGTATGTCCCAATGTGATGTATGGCAAAATGCACTATGACTGGAGGATAGTGCACACAAAATGTGTGGAACACTGGACGCTTCTCACCAAGCCCACAGGAAGTGCGCCGGACAATGTAACAACAAGGTTTCCCTTCGACTTTCATAAAATAGCGGGGTTTTCTTCTTTTAGCTGAATGAAATAGCCACTATGAACACTTCAATAGCCCTACATATTATTAGGTCCTAAAAGTCATAAAATGCACTAAAGGATTAATCAAGAGTCCTTTTTTCCTTCCCATTCATGACTGAAGCGAGAGCTGGTGGATCGGCTTAGCAAAAATGCAAGTTCACATGCTCTATGGACCCAATCAAGGATGATCCAGGCTTCTTTTGTTTTCTAGACTCTAGAGCCAAGCCATTTTGGCTTCATGAGCAACTGAGCATTGGTCAGAGCCTCCAACATTGAATATCTTTATCAATCCATGCTTCTCAACTGCAACGTGACGGAAGTTATGCGACCATACGTTTCTCCACTCAACACAACACTTCAAATTAAAGTTATACTTTATACACTATGTAAGTAACATTCCACTAAATGCTGAAGTCCACAAACAGGATCCTGGCGTAGGCTCCTGCTGTGTCCAGGTGCTGGAGGAGGAAGTGAAGGGCCATGTTGACAGCGTCGTCCACAGACCTGTTGGCTCTGTAGGCGAACTGCAGGGGGTCTGTGATGGATTTGAGGTGGGACAGGACAAGGCGCTCAAAGGACTTCATAACCACAGAGGTCAGGGCAACGGGTCTGTAGTCATTTAATCCTCTGGTCCTTGTTTTCTTGGGGGCCGGGATGATGGTGGCGGTTTTGAAGCATGTTGGAACGTGGCATGTCTCCAATGAGGTGTTGGATGTCTGTAAACACAGGAGACAGCTGATCAGAGCTTCAGGGTGGAGGGGGAGACATTGTCAGGGTCAGCCGCTTTTCTGCTATTGAGTTTTCTAAAAGGTCTGTTTACATCCCTTTCATTGATTGAGAGAGAATGTGATGTGTCGGGGGAGGTCAGTGGTGTGGGAGAGTGGGACCAATGACCAAGTTAATGAAATCAGTTGCTGTTTCAATTAACAGAAGCCTTGTTAGACACCCATGGAAATTGGAAGTTGTCTTCTGTTTAGTCTTCATGTTTCTGATTGATGAAAGTTCATCATTCACTTTTCTTTAACTTTCTTTTGGACTCTAGCTACTCAGTTTGAAGTTGTCAATACCAGAACACTGTTTTTATGTCTCCAAAACACACATCCTGATAAATGCATAGTCTGCGTAATATGCCTTCAATGATGCTGATTGCTGGAGCAGAGGGGCGAGTCATGCTGCTGTAGAGCAGGATTTCACAAAAATACATTAACTCTGGTGACATTTGTGCATCGTAATTCAAGAAGAGTAATGTACTTTGAACAAAGTTAATATTTGCCTCACTATACTCAAACATACACCCCCACACAAGCTCACACATACACACACACAAACACACACGAAAGCTTGTTCCAATGTCCAACAATTAACATAAAGTTCCTATACCTCCCACACAGAGCATCAGTTTTGAATTAATTTCTAATTATTTGTTGTAATCTTTTCCTAAAGAAAGGACATTTAAAAGAAAATATTATTATTATCTAAAGCACTTTTTGATTGTAAACACACTTTAGATCCATGAATTTAGAAGACTTATCAGAGAATCCCTGGTTGTAAAACTCAAAGAATAGCTTAATCAGCCTGATTATAGTTACAGACTGTATTGCCAAAGCATAGGTACAAAATAATAAAACTCAGACTGTGCCGGATTGCTACATATCTCATCATTACCAAATTACTTCATTTTTGGATATTTACAATAAAACCTGTCCTGAACTTTGCTATCGTTTGCATAACAGCTGTCACAAAAAGCATATATATTTATAGACACTGAAATATCCAAACTCCAACCATTTATTTCATTCTGCCTTAAGAACTTTTTTTTACTAGACATTTTAAAACATTATAAATAAATGCACTGAATCTTCAAATCATGGATCTCCAGTGTCTCAGTAATTTTTCTCTGCACCTGCTATTTAAATACTGATAACAGAATCTGCATGTATCACAGATTCCCCTTCCCTGAAAACACCTCTCACATGCAGACGTTCAGCCTTCATTTTCGAGAATCCAGAGGGAAAGTAAACTGGATTTCCCTATAAAATGTTTAACTTTCTAAACACTGGTGCTGCCTATTGGTAACCGCCGGTACTCAAACTTTATGAAGGGCAAAATATACTCATCATCATATACATTGGACTGACTAGTTATGTATATAGGACCAGTGTTTATTAAAATATTTGATTTTGAATTATTACATTTTAAAAACATTTAATTTCTTTCTTTTCTTTTTTGTTACCCTCCAACCTTATATGCTCTCAGTAATCACACTATTTTCTGGTATTGTTATGATTACTTTCACTTGGAGGAATAGGTTCAAACATCCCCCTCTCTGAACATGATGATTGATTGCTTTGTATTTCTTACGTTTCCTTATTTAGATTTATAATGGAAGCTTTTGCAATCAGAAACCATGAGAATCACAGGAAATTGAAAATCAAGACAAGCTGAACACACTGAGTGAAGAACAAAAAGACAAAATAGGACAGAAAACATCAATGTGAGATCATAAGAATCATAACTTTTAACCTTGAATGTATCAGAAGCTTTTCTCCAGCAGAGGGCAGCGTTACCTTTGTTACAGTATAGATAAAAGGGAAAGTGGTCAGACACAAAACGTAGATGACTGTGATTGAGGAGTTCTTGACAGCTACAATACATCCTATACTTCTCAAAATTCAACAACAATAAATTGTACATACTTTCAAACATGTCTTACGTTACCCCTAATTAAGGATCCTACTACTGCAGCCTCTGCAACTGTTTGTACATCGAGTGGTGCGATTTTAATATAAATGTGTTTTATGTGTGATTCCTCAATAGGTGAGATATCTACACCCCCAGGTGTACTATACTTAAATAAACTGTGGTGTTCTCAGTCGTTTAGCCT